CAAAATAAGAATAACTTTGATTTTTTCGATAATAGTAAACGCGATCCATCTGTAAACGTGCATAGTTGGTCATTTCTTTACTTATTCTACTTATAAGTTCTTATAACTTCCGTTATGATGGTAAGAATGATGTTTTAGCGTGTTTTGTCCGATGACCTCATTTTATTGGCGCGTGAATCGCACCACACCCCATGGCCACCACTCTTGTGGATCATCCCCGTATAAGAGCAATAAATCTCATGTAGCGGAATCTTATATACTACAACTTTTTTTGAGGAATAACTTTACCAACTCTTTATGCAAATTTGAGTAATCACCTTAAGATACATCAGTACATCCCTTTCAATAAGACAGTTTTCTACGCGGCTGTGATCTTTACTATTTCTACTATATAGTTACAACGCTTACCTGACTATCATCCAAATCACTTCTTTTATTTATCTCATCCACTCGCTGTTGGAACCTGAAGTGATAATTGATAGAAAGCTTTCCTGTTTTCATACGCCATGAAGTGAGGAAGTATATGCAAATGAAACCTTGCCAGCTGTTCGGGTCCCACAATCTCGTCTATTTCAACAACTGAAACTGGAGCAACGGTTGAGGTTGACGTTGAAGGAATGGAAGCAGAGCGAACTTTTTTCTCCGGCGGCTCAGACTCCTACAACAACAGCATTTCTTCTCAACATCAAATTATGGAAAAAACAATAAAAAAATTACAGCTGGTTCGGTGGCAGCCGAGCGCTTGACAGGGGTGTTCCCACTTAAGCTCGCACTTCGCAAAACTCTTGTTGACGGCTTCTCGTCCTCCTCTTCAGTTTTCAGGGAATTGTTATTGATCAGATTCGTGAACTTATTCAACAGGTTCGACTTTGCCCTTCGAGGACGAGGCGAAGGTGTGTTTAGACCAAGGAGAGATTCACGAGATATTGGCATAGAACTTTGGGAGGCCTGAAATGTTCAAGTAAAAAATCTGAAAAAAAAACCAAGTTGCTGAATCGCCTTATCAGTTTTCTTAGCGTTCGTGGAATTAGATACTCATTCCAGTAGAATCGAACAATAAATCAAGCCCGGAACTTGTAGAACAACGAAAAATGATCCCAATAAATCTAGCTTTTCACCTGAATAATGGCTTTACTGGCTTTGGCAGACGCTAGGGCGGCGGCTCTTGGAACCCTGGCTCGTTCCTCACTTATTCGAACTAGTTCTGACATCCTGGATTTATGGCGAGTAGGATTACCACATACTTTCGCCATTGGGGTAGCTTTTACAACCTACAAAGAACTGTTTGACTACACTCAAGAAACTTTACCTAATCAAATACGGGTTTGAATTATGAAACGATCAAAAAAGCAAACGACATTTTATTACAAAAAGTATATCGACCATATCGTATCGTTTAAGAGCAGACACTCGCGTTTTGTAGTAAAAGTAATTAGAATTAAAAAGGAAATTGTTTACAGTAAGAGATAGATACTTTACTAGTACGACATTCAAGTAGTGAGAAGAAAAAGAAATACGACAGTGCTCGCTGGAACTTGTAGTTACAGCTATCTGACTTTATATGAAGAAACATCTAAGAAAAAATACCTCGGCCTTCTCTTCCTTCACAGACACTCGCAATTTCTCTTCCGGTGTTTCAGGTATAGCACGAGGACGCTCAGATTTTCTTCTCTGTGTCAGTTCTGAAAAGAAATAACAAATCACTACATCAAGAAATGAATAACATACTGTAATGTGATTAGAGCAGTCTAACGCAAGCACCGGCTGCAGCCCCACCCCCTCTTCTTGGTATTCCACGTGTTCTTCTCAGGCTCTTTCCACTAGTTCCGTCTGAGCGCCCTACTGAGTAGTTGCAAAGGCGATAAGTGGTAGAGTAAGTTAACTGGCTTAAGAAGAAGATTCTGTCCAAGCAACAGGTCGATTACAACTATGAATCGGCTGACAGGTTCCTTACTTTTATTGGTACCCCCTATTTTCTACGGGCCTTCTCATCATATTGATTAGCGGTCACTTAAAAATCCAAACAAACAACTAATCTAACCAAGAAACAATGCAAGGGTTCATTGGAAACATCATATTATACAAATAAATAAGTGCACATATCCCACCACTAGAGGTGTGATGACAGTTGGACAAGAGCAATCTGTTGTCGGCTACCGCTTAAAACCCGAGATAAGACTTCTTTGTGAAAGCTATGAACGAAAGGACTGGTACATATCGGGCTCCCATTACGAAGTCTCATTGCCGCTTCGTTTACGGAAATCGATGATAAACGGGACGACTGGTGATTTTAAGCATATTATGCTACCTACATGAGCCAAAGACTCAAGTGAAATGAGAATGCAAACACTAATACGCCTTGAACAGAAAAAGGAAGCAGATACGAGATATGATGCCAGAAATTAGGAACAGAATGATCGCGAAGGTTTCTATCCCTGAAGACGGGAATGCGAATAGCACTGACGAGAAGACGCATAAATCAATCACTACCGTATAAGAATCGAGGGGCAGTGGTGTCTATTCAGGAAATGACTTGGACAAACAAAAACATGTGCTCCATCCCCGATATTCCAGAAAAAAAAGAACAAAACGATGAAATGAATTCGAAAAAACTTCACTAATCCTCGATTAACATAATTGTAGTGAGGGGAGCCTTGTTTAAAAAAACCTTAAGAAAGCTCATGCAGTAACTTACTTTTAGACGGTGATTTCGCATCATCATCGGCGGCAGCCTCCACCAAATNAACGTCTTTTGACTCCTTCGTCGCTTTTTGAGCAGTTTTGCCCTTTGCATTAGATGGCCCTTCCTCTGGTGTTTGAATTTCTTCAATAAATTGGTCCAATTGTTGGAGTCGACTACCACTACTGGCTTTGTGAAATAACGGGAAAGAAAGGTCTTCATCCTGAAATACCGCATCATCAGGAAAGAGTGAAACGCCATTACAGAAAATATGAAAACAAAAGGAATGACACAGTTTAAGAAAAGGCACAAATTCGAAACTAACTTTATTCCAAACCGAATCGAACTCTTCTAGATCATCTGGCAGTTGAATGCATAGTTCGTCAAAAATCTCAGCAATAATCTTGGGAATAAGGTGTATAAAACTGAAAAAGGCCCTAATCAGCTAAACATTCACAAACGATTGGACAACCGCAGAAGAACTTGCTTACTTATCAGATACTTGCTCCTCCAAGAATGTTCTCATTCTCCTGGCGTTCGCAACGAAATAAACTATTCTCATTTTCCTAACAATCTAAAAAAGACTGTAATGTAAAATCCGAAGAACATCCACTGGAAAAAAAAACTTACTTCTAAAACTTTTGAGGGTTCACTCGGGTCAAGATAACATGTGTACAACTCCAGGAGAACTTGTAACTGAGTTTCACGCAGCCTACGCTCTCCATCCGTTGTTGAACCTTCATACTGCCTATTTAGTTCTGCGCACGAGCGTATCACGTGATTGCGAAGAAAGTCACACACCATCGTCTAAAAAGAAAGTTTTCACTGTACAAAAAAGATTCCGCTCAGTAAGTAAATATTTAAGCTGCGCCAACTGCCCGCTTTTCACGCACATGCGCCTCATAGGACCACAGTTTAACGGAAAGCTGCAAAAAAGCCTGCCGAAAAATGAGCTCGATACCAAAGTGGTTACTGTAATCAAATGCTGCAAGTAAAAACGAAACTGGAGCACCGGTCGAAAATTCGAAAAAGGAAACTTTTCGAGAAAATATTGCGTTTCACAGCTTTGGATGCTTTAAATATTAACAAGCAATGATGGAACCAGTAGTAATTGTACATCCGTAGCTTTCACCACAGCTACTTACCTACTCAGCAACACAGAATCTTATCTGGCACAAACAATGAATGCGTTTTAGAGCCAGCTCACTCACTTGACTTTCGCTAAGGATCGTAGCGCCAACACAATTTTTGATCTCTACAAATGAACTGTCGAGTGAGCCGATGAAAAGGTTACTTCTCTTTCCATCCAGATTCCAGAAGGTAACATATTACCGATCAAAGAAAAGTCGAAGGTATGATTGACCTAGGCAGATATCGCTCAAGTAGCTCATTTAAGAAGATGTATGCGATACTCGTAGGCCGACAATCAACATAATAATTACCACAAAACAATGCAAAGTGTGAAAAGTCATAAACCAGGTTTTCTTTCCGTCATGAAGAAAAAACGTTAGAAAATTGTTTTTTAAGCGGCTGCAAAACAAAAAACCAGTAGATAAGGAAGCGATATAATCAAGAGAACCGGAAAAGGTGAGAACACGGGGTAGGTGATTCAAACAAGGTGTAATTTAAAAAAGTCGCATCGCACTTGTCATTTTCGGTATGAAAGTAAACAAAACAAAGAAAATCGCATAATAATTACCACAACAACATTGAAACTAACCTTAACAGCGTTTCCAAACGTATTTGTAACAAAGAATTTCTTTAGAGAATTTATGACCAGGTGATAGCATTTTACAGGTTGTTCTCCACCGTCCAAGAGGCTTTCGTACCATTGTCCAAAAACCGTGGGAAGGTCTTCTTCAGAGCACGCTTAAGAGCAAAAAGAATAAATTGGTGAAAACAAAAACAAACATGAGCAACGAACACGGAAATTAATCCACTTACAGAATATGTGCACTTCATCGGTCTCAGCAGCCTTTCTTCGAGTAGCCCTTAATTCAGTTAAACGACGGCATCTTGTACTTTGTTTCGTGCACTTTGGTAAGGGAATCGTTTGAGAAAGGGAGGAAGCGGATGAGCTGTATCCAAGTGGACGACCTTAATGTAAACGCTGTAGGACTAGTTATTCGAAGAAGACAAGGAACAGTAACAAAGTCAGCAAACCATTTTTGGGCAAGTTTTAAGCAACAAAAATAGTAGATTAATGGAGTGCTGAGATGGAATAAGCAGCAAAACTAGTACCCGACAATGCCTGGCTACGTTTGGCGCCACGAACTGGCCTGTTTTCCAAATAAGGTGCAGGTGTGGTCAGAAACAACCGAGAGAGGGAAAAACGCTAGAGACTTTTGGAACATATGCTCTCGAGAAAACTTAACCCAGGTTTTAAAAAAGACAGAATAGCTTGGGGGGAAAACAAAAAATTTCTATATTTCCTGACGTTTCAGAGGAGAGATATTTTCACACAGCTAAATTTGAAGAAGCAACCAATATCAATTGATAGTTTGGCAATGCATTCTGTGCGTAAGACTTAGACGACCAATACGAACAACTTTTATGCGTAATTACTCGATGAGGCCACTTTAGTTCCGGCTGTAAGAACTTTAGTGCGGCTAGGCACGCTCACAGTTGTTAAAAAAATGCGAGAAGAATCGGATGAAAATTCTTGAAAGCTGCCAAATAGCCGATCATGATACCACCATAAGAAAAGCAACCGCTTTTCAAAGACCAAGTAAAATACGAACCTTTGGCAAGCGACTTTGTAATATCGTCCTCAGTAGAGTACTGAGACTGCGAACCCTCAGAGGACTCACACCCCGACATTCGAGAATCTTCGTCTTCGAATAATCCTAAAATCTCAAGTTTTGGAATAGTCCCAAAATCTTCCGTATATGTCTGGCATCAGAACATTTTTACAACAAAGAAATTGTTCAATGCAACAGTACAACACTTAAAATTCTCGAAGAAAAGAACGTTGTCACAAGGAGACATATAAGGAAAATCAATGAGAAGTGGAACGGACCAGAGAAGTGGAACGGCGACGAGAAATTGATAATGACGAGAAAGATGCAGCAACGGGGCAAAAACTGGCAAATGGCCACAGCATTTTTACACTTCGCACGTCACACCGCATGCGGTGATTAGGATGCACAACAAAGATCAAACATAGAACGTGCGTAAGTGAACTTTCTTGAACGGGAAAACACAAGCATACTAAAAACTTGGGTCAGTTATAAACGTACCAAAATGAAGTTTGTTTGGCTCGACAACAGTATCAGACACATTTCCATTCGAGCCCGGATTTCCTGTTGAAGGAGTCATCAATTCAGCTGAAGGAATCGATGACAACTGAAACGGTAGTCATGCTTGGCGAAAGTCGAAATAAATAAAAAGCTGTACCTCGTTTGAAACCATTTCTCTTAAAGCATTAAAAGCTTCATTTGGTATATCACTTCTCTTTAGCTTGCGTGGGCTCACTCTGAAATGTAAAATTAATTCTGAATCATAGTTTTAGACCCAAAGTAGACTCAAAATGCTGGTTTCTTGTTTGATTTTCGTCCTACAGTATTACTGTAGGGCTTGGCACTTTCAAGGCCAGAACAGGAAAAAAATCACGTTCTTTGGAAAAGTGTGAATGAAGTTCGCAAACAAGAATCACGCCGGTGGGAAAGTATTATCCTGCGCTTCTCACAATCTACCACCCACATAGAGGAGTTCAGGGAAAACGTTCTTTGTAGGAAATGTGATTATCACTTGATTCATAACCAGTACGACCCGTGCCAGGATTTCACGCCTTTGAGACGTTCAAAGCACGACTCGAGCTGAGATTTCACGATTTTCCAGCATTCGAACGTATTTTTTGCTCTTTGCAATTTTGGGTGGGTGGTACAACATTCCCCGGAAAAGTTTCTCCGAAAAAAATGCAGTGTACGCGGGCCAGACCACAAAAATAATTTGGCTCGAGCGATCCATCAGTCTTAGAAAGTTTAGCTTCCCTCCGTCATCAACCTTTGAACAATCTACTTCGTGATCATCAAGGGACAAGGTGTTCCGACCACTAATCGAACAATTAAAGGAATACTCTGAAGACAACAAAATGCACTCAATAAAGAATAGCTGAATCTTGTTGTCAACAGTTGTTCCCTGATAGAACACCGGGAACCAAAATCTCTCTTATTATGCGATCATGAGTTGATTATGCAAAATCATGGCTTTGAACGACAGCAATAAAGGGCATCGTCGCGCGCGGCCCATAGCTGGCGTTGGACACGGCCACCGCCGCTACGCTGAGTCACGCGTGCGGCGATCGATACCACGCATTCGCTGTGCATTTCCGTACTAAGCTTGCTTCCACTCATCAGTTACTTTTCCAGTTTCCGCTTATTGAACGATCACAGCCTTCTTATCAATCGCCTATAGAGTAACCAATATTCGACTGGATTTCGTTGAGCTCAGCGAGGCCTTTGAGGAACGAAGATTCGTCATAAGCCCCACTCACCACACTGACTTCATAAAGTACTTTTCTCGAAGCAACATCTATCACAAGCGTTTTGGACAAGATACGTCATTCAGTATCACTTCGCCTACATCTTACCTCTACTTTTAAACATTTTATGAGACTATTCAGCTATTTAAAAATGCGAGCAAATGTAGTATGTTGGTTGGTGGTTATATTCGAGGTAATTTCAGACTTTTTCTTTTCTTTTTTAAACAAATAGAACAACATAACTCCAGATGTTGTACATAAAAGTAAAATTCTTTCAGAACTTTGTGGTTGTGTTGAGATTCCACTCGTTCAGGAGGTAAAAACGAAAGCAGAAACCATATCTACTGCCACTGGCACCAGAATACTTTAAAAACAATCACAATGGAAACCAACTTTTGAATGAGAGCAAATGTCACGTCGGCGAACGATGCAGGCGAAACTTCACTCATTTTTACAACGTTAAAAGCATAAACGAGGATTTCACGGTCTACATAGAAGATTGCACCTCACGTCTGCAATATAACAAACAAATGAAATTGCTTATCAAAGTGAATCGCGTTCAAAATACAAGAAACACGGTAAAGTACGCAATGACAGAACAACATCGTTTCTAAGTGAATATCGTATGTCAAAATTGGACTTAATAGGCTCATTGTTGTAAAAGAATGCTTTGAAAATCATTGAAAAGCTGGATGGAGGGATGATTTGTACTAGTTGACAGAGGTAGGATGAGGACGAACGGGGGAACGGAGAATGGAGGCCGACGACCCGCCCCAACACGCTCTCATATTCCCGAGCGAACGCAATGCAAATCGATATACACGCTAGGCGTCGTCCCTCGGTCAATGGCATGTTCCCAGGGAACGAGCGAGTCTCTAGGGAGATCTCTTGTGAAAAATCGGGTCCATTCTAACAAAAAATCGGAAAAATTGATCACCTTACTCGGACAGTGCTTTACAAAGTCGGTATTGTAGGTATTTAGCGGAGTTTGTAACCTTTTTTTTCAACTGGTGTTGAATTCGATTGAAGAACAACTACAACTATCAAAAATGCATCTAAAACGACATACAATTTGAAAGGTAACATCAATTTGAGTCAGCAACACAAAAATTAGCAAAGAACTAGAGCTACCACCTAAATTGTAATTGTAATCGAGAAAATGATTCCTTCCTTACTGTTTGAGCCCCTAATTGAACCTAATTAGTCCTGATGAAGTACTCTGAAGCCTTTGGCTTCATTTACTATCAATAACACAAAATTCACATTCAGTAAAAGGAAGTTATATTAGATTAACAATCAAGTAATTGCATATATTTTAGAAAAAAAACCATCGTTTTCAAGAAAAAGTGTAATATTTATTCTGGTACATGAAGGTCTCGAAGGTTTTGGCTTGATCATCCCGTCCGAGGGATGCGCCCCGCATTCCACTTCCATTCAGAATCGTTGTGGTGTATTGAATGTGATATGACCTAACCAATGACTTGCAGTGGCCAGTTGATGTCACCAATCAGGGCTTTTATCCTCCTGGACTGTCTAGTACCAATTAATCGACCCCTAGGGAGGGATAGAAGGCTTGGTTAACCAGGCAGATTTCGTTCATGGATTCGAATCCGTAACCGTGAGGTGAGTGATAGTGCGCATATTGACCATAAAACACTCATGTACCTCTTCAATGGGCATAATCACTTGAAAAACGTGTTTCCTTCGAGAGCAATATATGAAGTACTCGGAAAACTATGTAGCGACTTAGTTGTCAACCTAAAACCAAGGTATGAACCTAATAAATTGAATTATATCGTTTATCTAATTGAAATTATAGTAAATAAAACAATGAATGGATTAAACAATGATTTAATTGCATCATTGAAAACTCATTGAACATGGTCTTGGTCTGAAATGAAGGGGTGTTGCAAAGAGGTAAATGAACAACATGGCAATGAATTCCTGACTTACCACGTCTCGCTATGTGACGTGGTGGCAAAACTGGTTACTACCAGAAGTCAAGAATGAAGAATCATTCTCAGTCATAGGTAGCCCCTAGGAGACTTTAGGTAAACTTGTTTCTTCTTTGTAAACAGTTTCCCAACCAGTACCTAGGTATGTGATAAATGAAAAACTATCCTTATAGCCGGAAAGTATTTTTTACCAATAATGCTCTGGAGAAAACAATCTTCCTCCAGAAAAGTGAACTATCGAAATTCTATTGCAAGGGAACTCTTGAGACCTGAACGGGTCTAAACTATTCATCAAATTCATTATGTATTTTGACAATTAGACATTTCGGACATCGGCCTTCAGACGACGTCGGAGCTGGTGAACACCGAAACAAAGCATAAAATTACTCGCTTCATGCCAAGTGCAATCAGTTTGTTGACATTTAGAACGTACCCAGACTAGTCGCCCAGCGATCTTACGCAATCAATAACACCTGATCGAAAGTCAAATTCTTTCTGAAAGAAACTTCGATTGAAAATTCCATACTTTATATAAAATCTCCAACAACAACGATAACAACAGGCAGTGTAACAGGAATATGTACTAGCCATACTGTACAACTGTGTAACCTAAACTCGGGAAGGAGGCTAACAAACATCGAAGAAAACAGAAGAAGGGTAGGGTAAACGATAGATATAGAGTAAAACGACATAATAGGAATGATTCACGGAGCAATCCTGATTTTGGTAACAGAAAAATCACGTCTTCCTCAAACTATTAAGAATATTCGAATAAGCAGACATTCAAATAAGAATAACTGATAAAATTAGTGGAAACGAAGGCTGAACTTATTCTTATAACTGGTGTGGGCACGGTGAAGGAGACAATTTGTCAATTGCCAGAAAATATCGAAAGAGCGATAACTTACTAGCTTTACAGCCGCAAACCTCAGTTATTCACCTAACCCCCTACCGGGCACAAAGCATGAAATCTCTCCTTTACTACAGAATATATTTCGAAGGCAATTAAAAGAATATTAAATAAAAAATTGTAGCATAGAAATAATTTTTCAAGCTATACAGCAGGAAAACAATCTCCAACTCTTGAGCCGAGCGAAATTTTAAGGTACATTACTTTTCGGTGACTCTTGGACTTTTGTCAAGCTCCTATTCACCATTACAACTACATTCCTCCACATTCCTCTCACACTCATGGCGTGACCTGAAAAAATGGGAAAATCTCTGATTTATACTCACGGCTCAAGGTTATCGAGAAATGAGGGAGAAATGAGGTGTTCAAGAACCTCATTACAATCATGGATGTAAAAGATTAAGAANCAATCATGGATGTAAAAGATTAAGAACTTGAGGAATTCAACGATTCACATATAGAAGCTAACATAACAATAGTGCCTCAATAGAATTCAGAATTCAAATTATGAAAACGCTACAAAAATGTAAGTGACATACCTAACAGCTGTATGACAAGTAAAAAGTCAAATATAGCGGTAAAGAAACATGACGTATCCTTCACCGATTTCAATTCCATACAGCATAAACATACCTATTTACGCCTTCGTCGCATCCTGGGTTCCCCTTTGGTTGGTGGTCGAAGAAGACGAGCAGCCCGAAGCGACTCCGTCCTCGCGGCTTCTTCGACGCTACACTGCACAATATCACAGCCGAGTCCGGTGAGCATCTACAAATTATCTAGAATCAAGCTTAATCGAACGCACGATGCCGGCCTACTGGTGATGCTTGCTTGTCTGCGAGTCTACTTTGTCCTCTTGTCTCTTGAATAGAACTGAATGGCCGCATTCAAACTAGGTGCCGTAGACGGCACTCGGGTGCCGTCCACGGCACCAGTCGTACGAAACCTATCGATCGACAGCTC